GAAGTCAGAATTCGCTAGTGGGCGTGGCCGACCGGTTCCCACTTATCCCCTCATCGCGCACTCTCTCAATTTTGGCCAACCTCTCGATTTGCGGATTCTCTGCACTCGCAACATCCGTAAATTGTAAACGCGCCTGACTGCTCCCGTGACCCGCAAACTAATTATCATAACTCAGGTGACATAACTAGTTAAAGCATGATAATTAGTCTCAGGTTGGGCTTTACTCCCCAATCTGCCAAGTAAACCAGTCAGAAAACTCGAAAAAAATCAGTAACGTACCGAAAATAATGAGTGGGCTGTACGTGTTTTGTGGCGATTCGCACCAATTTCTGAAGCTGTCGGACAAGCTCGATGCCCTGTAAAACCTCCAAAGCCAGCAGATTTGGGCCTCTTTGTGTCGCCTGAACAAGGAGAGCGACGATAGTGAAGGTGCCAGTTCTCGGCTCGGCGTTGACTCGCGGATCATACGTGCCATCATATCAGATGGGCGCATAGTACGCGAATGCTGTGCATTGGTGTGATCCAAAGATGGTTCCCAGTCCATATCCTAAAAGAAGCGGGGAAAAAAGCTTAAATTTGTGCATTTATTATGTCGTAAGAAATCGCCAGAATTAATGGTGAATGAAAAGAGAGCGACGACCTCGTAATCAGGTCCAATCTTCCTCGCTGGGCTAGCTGTAGGCTCTGGTGTTTGCTCACGTTCTCGCCATTTCATACGGTGTCGTACAACCGTTTCCTTCGAAGGTGATCCTTTTGCTTTTTCGCCAATTTCGCTGCCTATGGTCCTATCGTGTACTGCAGATGTGTTGCAGCTGGCCGCTTGAGAGGAACACTGCGACGCTGGAGTGGATGCAATTGAGAATGCGCTGAAAGGCAGAATTTTGGAGATATTACTACTGCAGATATTACTAGACAGTTTCGTATTCTCTATGATCTATGCGAAATAGCCAGAAAGCCAGTAGAGGACATCAATCTAAACCGCATTCATACTTTGCGAATATGGAGCTTCGCTTTTAAAAAATCGGCGACAGAGCATGGGATAGGAATTGATAGTTCCCGTCCACTTTTTTTATAACTTACAATTCGTTTAAACGTGGATTCTCCAAAAGGGATTTTTGAGAGTGGGGTCAATTCAGCATTCAGCCCATCTGGTTGCCTGATGGGGATTCCCTAGTATTCGCAAAGTATGAACGCAGCCTAATTACACTCTGCTTTAAAAGGGTACATGTGTCAAAAAGATACCTCGACAAGATCCTGTTCGGCCGATTCCGAGGAATCTTTTTACGTGGAACAAAGGTGACAGCCGTAGCCAACAATGTCTCGAAACAAGCGAACGCACATCGGAACAGTGCTAGATCTTCACGGTACATCTGCAAAGGGGGACATCTAATCGATTGTACTTCTACTATGTAGTGCACGGCACCTGAATACGTTTTTGAAATTGAATTTTTGGGAATTGGCTACGCAAGGTCGCTTTCCGACATTTCAGTTACTTCTGTCGCTTTGAGGTCTATAAACAAGTAGGGCCAACATAGCTAAGGAACGGGGGGGGGGGGGAGGCGGTGGGGAAAACGAGGAGGCATTGAACCACACCCAGTTCGGTGGTCCGGCGCTCTGCAAGACAGATTTAAGGAGTGAAGGTTTCAAGTCTCGGTTGTAGGGCGCAGGCTCGCAGGTCCATTCAGGCGACATCCACCCCATCCTCCCTCCCGAACTAGTGTGTTAACTCTAAAATGCGCATATGTCACAGATCTAAAAGACACCAAGAGCTAGTTCCAGAGAAACATCCCATACCTGGGAAAACCTTTCGTAAACTTATTGAGCCGCGATCAGGCGAAACGAGTTAATCGAATAAGGAACCCTCATTTCGAGGGTCCGTAGGTGTTCAAAAGCCTTGCTGATGATTTAGCCTCTTCTGAGAATCGATGTGACCGAAACAAACGACTTCTGTGGGCACTACATCAAACAGCAGGGGGACTTTTCTCACTTTCGCTACTTTCCATTGGTCGAGCTATCAAGTGGAGAAAGTGGACAAGAGAAATCTAATGAAGCGGCGAAGTGACACCATCCTAAAATTATTGTTGGGACCACTTGCCAACCCTTGTGAAGTAATAAATACGTCGATGGAAAGTAGCAAAAGAGCAATATGCCCCTCCTTCCTATCCGAACTCCGCCAACAATACTTTCTTTTACCACCGTTTCAAGGAACTAGAACAACAACGCAAACAGCCAACTTACGTTTTCTGGGAACATAAACGATGCCAAATGCATTGCAGCAATGGCGGGCAGAATAAGGTCGGGCAATGTTGTGCGACATCTAGATAAACGCATATAGATTACTAGAAGATATCTGAAAGAATCAAAAAGATACTTGTTCATCCACATCGTCATTATGTGTGCGCAGAAAAGCCCTCCGACAAGGTGATAAGCTAAGCTTAGCACAGTGGGAAACGCCCTCTGCAGAAACATAGGAAGTCGAATCAAATCCAGTCCAGCGTCCTGAAAAACAATCGCTATGGACGCAGGAGACCATCAAAATGTACAAGAATTCCGAAAAAAGTCTGAAACCAAGAGTTCAAGAGAACAAACACTATCAAATATGGGAATAAAAATGGAAATGAAAAATAAGCCAAACAGGAAATTCGAGCCCTTACAAGAAAGAAAGGCTCTACCCAACTCTTACAACCAAAAAATCTCGAAAAAAAATCCTGCTGAAGCATTGCCTACAGAGCTAATTCGGTGCCCTAGTTAGGAGTATAACAACATTCTCTCTGCGCACCGGCGCCACTTGGCACCAAACTGGTATCAAGAAATGGTGGTCATGCAACTCAGAATATTGAGAAGCCCCCGACCAAAAGTTTCAGAAAACTTTCAATGATTTTGGGGTTGCAACAGTTGGATAGTGCCGGAGAATGTATTTTAATGTAACTCCCAAACCTCTTGTAAATAGTTGAACTGAGAAATGAACAGCAGCACTGCAAGGACAAACGAAACCGCATGCAGTACCTCAACCATGAGACCGCCAGCAAAAAAGTGACGGCGACGCCGTACAGCCTGCAAATGCAAACCACTGACAAGTGAATAAAACGGCAGATTATAAGTCCTTTAGGAATAATTTGTACAAAAAACCAAACAAAAGGCATTAGTACGCTAATCCTCGATCAGACAACATAGAGGCGCTCAATTGGTTACCTTTTTAGCCAGTCGTGTAACGGACGTGATGCCACTCACTATCGAATTTGCTACACTGTTCCTGAGTGCGATGAGATTGGCATATTTCACCTAAAAACTCATTGAGCAAGCTCGATCTTGTAAAATACGAGAAGAATTTACATAATTTTCATTGCTAAAGAAGCTGCAAGGATGTATGAGCCAGGCGGCTGCACTTTGATACCGAGAATGTGATCCCTTCCCTGAATACGGTACGGCATCGTTAGGAGAATTCCATCAGGGGGGTCTAGTTGTTGGGAAGGATGTCGTGACTGACCATGAAAGAAATTTTCCAGTTACATACTTCCTCGTTTTCTCCCCAGGTCAGTGTGTCGCTGTTGGAGAATCCCCAACAGGAAGGAGGTCGTATTTGGCCGCCAGGAGAGGGGGGGGGGTCGTATTTGGGCTGAGAAAAATTTATTTTGATAGTTGATTTTTCTCGCTTCACGGACGTTGTAAAAGGAGGGGAGGGGTCGTATTTACTTTCTGGCCTTTCTAGGAGCAGAGGGAGTGGTGCTGAACTTTACGTGATTTTCCTGTTCATGCGTATTATATACGCCTCCCCCCTCCCCCCGCCCTTTCCCCTCGACAGCAAAATTTTGGGAAAAGTAGGGAAGTTTTCGGGAAATTTTGGAAAAAAGGGCAGGAAGTTGGGGAAAATCTGATTGTAGAGGGGGGGTCGTATTGTCTCGCGGCTTTTCCTGTTTCACATGTGCTAGTTACCCCCTTCCCCCTTCATGCGCTCTTAGGGGGCTTCAGCGACCCCTAAGAGCGCATGGAAGTGATAAAACAACTGGTTACATAAAAGTAATTTACCTTTTCTTCTTGCATCCTATTCTGCGTGAAAAATGTACATCTAGCACATAACGGATAGATTTTGTTCAGTTTATATCGAAACATCTCCAGTTCCTCGCTCCATCGTTCCTTCAAAATTTCACAAGTATGCAACGATTGAAATGGAATGGGCATAAAATCCTACACTGGATAAGTTTCATTACTCCTGAACTGCTCAAAGAACATACCTCATTCATCGGCTCGAAATCCGCCACTTTCCGCATTATTATCTCTTGCTGGCGGTTGCATTTTTCACATAGGCCATTGCTAGAGAACCCCTCTCGTGGAACTACATCTGGTCGTGCGAGACCGCTTTTCATAGGGGTACAATATCTGAAAAAGCAACAGTCCACCACACGTTTGACTTATGCAACATTAAAGGGTACCTCTTTGCCGGTGTGGCAGCCCCGAAACAATGTTGCCCGGGAATCTTGCGATTGTATCCGCCAGAGTCATCAAATCCATTGTACTGCTCACAACTCGAACATATGAACGAATTTCTTTGTTCATAGGGAACTCGCTGATCTTTTTGACAAAACCAGCAATTCACTTTGGCTTTGAAACGCTTCCTGAAACACTCAGAGTATTTTCTAGTGGCTCGAGCACAACATTTCGAGAGTTATCCACATTTCTGGCTTGAAGTCGCACTGGTTCTTCTTAAAGTGACCCTTTCCTCGTACGCGGTAGGCGTGGCTGCGTCTCCACTTACTGAGCGCAAGACTAAATTTCAATTTGAAGCGACCGTCACCCTGTCTTGTGCTGGAGAATGACGATTACGACTGTCCCCAAACAGCCTCATCAAAGGAAGCTGCCATCACTATCAACGAAGTTACAACCACGGCCACCGCATCTCAGGGATTTGGAGTTCTTATGAGGGGGGAGTGGAGCATTCGACACCGAGAGCAATTAACGGGGCTCTAAATTAGCTTACCAAGAATAGGAACAATTAGTACTTGTCCTTCTAGTGGCCTGAAACGCTCCAATATCTCAGTCACTAGAACGACAAAATGATATCAACTGTCATAACTGTATCCTCGGCGTGGGTCCATGAAAGCATCATGTTGGTCGACGAAGTAGTAAAGGAAAGGATATAAAAGGAGGAAAGGAAAATGAAAGGAGATAAAACTACGAAAAAAAACCCACGAAACAGCAAAGGGTTTTGCTCACCGTATAGTGGTGTATAGGAATGGAACGACGGTACACGCTACAACAGCAGCAGCGACTTCCATATGCTGTAGCAGAAGCAGATTTAATGTATGTACTGATAGGATATTCTAAAATGTTCTGAAAACATAACTAATGACTTATATCGATCCATTGTATAAAGCGAGAAATGCTCTTCGAAACAATATAGAGTTCAACAGCAACTTTACAAAAATAAGGCGAAGGATAGCATTTGAAACTAGGGAACCAAAAACCGCAGGGACTGTCTCGATGACCTGAAACTGGGCCGATCGAGAGTTCCTGCAACACATATTAGAAAAACCTCATGCTTCACTTGGTAAACGGTTCGGCAAATTAGCTCAAAACGCCAATTCTCCGAAAACGCCGAATCGCAGAGCATGAACGCAACCTTACTGTAGATATGAGATGCTGCGTAGTGTGCATCAGAACTTGATGAAAGTGTTCCCCGGATGGACGTCTCATACCTTGCGGTAATGGGGAATCGTGGATTAGGTAGAAGTAGTAGAGCAGCGAATTGCAGAACTCGAAGAATCGCAGAAAAAAAGGGAAAGATTGCACATGTAATGACCTATTTTTGCGCATTCTTCGATTCTTCATTTTCTCAGAACGAACGTGTATATTCCTTCCCGTGTTTTCTTCGATTCTCATGATTGCGCGACTGCGAATCAGTCAGTACTTCATTTTCGCAAGTATAAACGCAGCCTACGATGGGCCCTCGACACCTTACTAAGGTTACCACATTGTATCTGCGGAAGTTCCTCATACGAACGGGCAGCAATGCACAACACAAAAAATATAGTGGAACAGAAAAGAAAGAGCTCATAATCTGCGAACCGTGAAAGCTAAAGGACATGCATTGTAACAATCATGAAAGCGTTCAGCACACTACCAAAAGCGATTTAAAACGGAATCGTGAAGATAAAGCACAAAGTGGTACAACATTAAGGAAAAACTTGTGGTCGTGTAAAGCATCCGAACAAATGCTGCAAAAATTCGAAACCCCTTCGGAACCTAACGCACCCTACCGCGGTCGTTCAGCTTTTCTGAGCCACAATTCCAAGTAGCGGGATGTCCAGTTATGCTCCTACTCAACTTTCGTCAATACAGGCCTCTGCCAAACTCTGAGAATCGTTCAAAATCCACGAAGAAGAAAAAGAAAGAGAGAAAAAGGAATGAGAAGGAAGACTTCGCGCATTTCTGTGCAACTTGTCGGACGCACTTTTGCACAATGCTCCACGCAATCCAGCACCACATTTCGTATCCAACGTGTTTCATTTTCGGAATTGGTAGCATCGCTATTTCTCAACCCTTTCTTTGACTGAAAATTCTTCCAACTCTCTCAGAAATGTAGCGTAATTCTTTGGTAATCCCACTATTTCACTGTAATCCCGACTTCTTTCAGAAACCTTCATGGAGCTTACTTTGATAGCCAGAGTGAAAGATGGGCTAATCTTGGCCACTTCGATAGAGGGCAGTGATGGTGTAAGTAGTTTTAATTCCGCAGTTAGATGTTGCTCGATGTCCTTTTCATAGTAACAACGTTCTAGGGAGATACCAATCTTGTCAAATATTCGAATCAAGCGAAAATGCTATTCAAAAAGCTCAGCAATGCTCCTCTAATGCAATCGATCGAAAGTGGACCCTATATGTTCCAGTGAGTGAACGTTTTATTGTTATTGCCGTCTGACATTTCAAATGGACCGTCTGAATTTGGTTAATAACTTCACGATGGCTGGGGCGGACGGTTGCTGCTGACGTCATTGGTGGAAAGGCTGCGAAAGGGAATTGGTCCGACAATGTTCAGCCCTACCACCAATAACGTTTGCAGCAGCCCCCCCCCAGCCATCGTGCCCACTACCTTGACCTCGAAGAACAATAGCTCTATGGTATCGCGTGTCATGATATCTGTCAACAGCGAAACCTTCCTCCTCCCTTTTTTCTTCCTCTCTCCTTCTTTTCCTTTCTTCCTCTCTCTCCTCTCTCCTCTTTCCTTACTTTAATACCTTCGAATGCTCGGCCCTCTAGAGAGGCGATGAGAAATTATCTCTGGACCTCGCAGCGAGACAGACCTATTGGACGTCTGTTTTAGTACCAGGAAGTCGCAAAGATGTTGTGTAAGTTAAAAATGCTTGTTATCCATATTTATAACCGATATTCATCGGTCAGGGATTTGGCTCGAGGCATTCTCTGTGCAAGGGGTCGAAATTCATGTTGTATTCGCTTGCGAATTTCCTGATTTACAGCATCAGCGTCGGTTATACACAAAACGGTTTTTGGGGATCGCGGGGGGGGGGGGCGAGGGGGAGGAACAGCAATGTATGTTGATTTGCATTCTTTTCTGAAAAAACGGAAAGGCTTCGGATATATAATCAGCCTCAGTCTAATTTTTTTCGCCGATTTTCCCAGGTGCGGGACTCGGCAGATTCTTCGCATCAGTACGTGCTGCAATTCTTCTTCCGGGATTCTGTGATTCGTCAAACAAGTCGTATGTGAACGTAGCCTTGGCCTCTTGTTCTAGCGTGATTACGGGTTCTAGGGTCCATTCAAATAGTAATGATAGTCGGATAATCAGTTTTAGCTGAAGTGACCTAGAAACTATTGGAAATACACCGCCTTTAACAACTGACCGATTACAGGCAAAAGGGTTTTGTGGTCCGGGGGACGGGTAATGATAATGTAATGATAGTATGAACGTGAACGATTGCTCTTCCTGACGTGCTTCTTCATTAACCTGCTTTCCTCAACTGTCATGTATGAATAGTTTGCTTTTCCCTGATGGACAGGCGATATCTGATAAGACTGCTCTCGAGGGACTTCTTATGATGATGTGTCACGCATTTTCAAGTGCTGTGTTTCCTTGTGATGTCATTCGACGGTAATAACTTCGGGGGGTGATATTTAAAGGACAAGCAGACAGAGGACTAACATCATCGAGACTAATAGAAAAAGCTTCACTTGAGCAGCGTTCAGACTTCGCGACGGCAGCGCTTCGGTCGCGCGTTCGACGCGATCGATGCAGTTGAAAGCATGCGCATCGATCGTCGATCGCGCGACCGAAGCGCTGCCGTCGCGAAGTCTGAACGCTGCCTTACTGGCTCATCGACCGACCCCGGGGCTGTCTCCGATTGGTCTGAGGTTGCTCTGATGTAACTACATATCTTTTAGCTGAGTTTACTTTTTGTGCAGCACTGGTGATTTTGGAACTTTTTCTTGCTGCTTTTAGATGGCCGCTAACTACTTTTTCTCTCGTTCTCTCGAAGTTTTTTTTTAGTTTTCCTTACGAAGCATTAGAGTATTTTCTCTCAGATTTTTTCTGTTCACCTTTTTGAGCATTATAGTATTTCTGGTTTTGCGTCACTCCCTCCTTTACTGAGGAGCTTCAAGGTACCGAAAGAACAGTAGTTCGTCGGAAAAGTGAAACGAACCACCCCTCCCTCTTCCCAACTGATTTACTATTTGAGAATTTCTCCCTTTTTAGTGTCAGGTTAGGCTGAAGGCTGATCTTTTACTAGAAAGTCAAGAGGAATGCTGGTGCGCACGCTCACAGTCAGTTGTGATCATTAAGTTCCACTCCTAGGCAGTAAGCTTGACGCGGCTGTTTGATGTGCTTCTACATTCTGCGCTTTTAGCTTTCTTTGCAGTTGTAAGAAATGGAATCAGAAATTCCTTCAAGATGGTTCAAAACCTTCACCCTATGTGATCCTCCTTCATTTAGAGAACTCACGTCACCACCTGGTAACCAACAAGTAGGAGTTTATTGTTGATAATT